CATGGTTTGGGTTGGAACCCAAACACCCCCTCAATCTCAAATAAACAAAGTTGCCCTACTGATTTTTATAATTATTATGCTTGTTTTTTTCAAAATTATAATCTAAATAATGTTTTCCAAAGTTGCCCTTTATTTTTTTAGAATATTAAGAAAAAATACGAAGCACATGTGACGTGAGTGGGCGTTCATTGTCTTGTCGGTGCAAGGACAATTAGTTCTAAATTATAGTAACATCGAGTAGCTATCAGTGTTTTTCTTTCTCTTTTTTTTTTTTTGTCAGAAATTTCTGTCTTTGTTTTTTTTTTTTTTAATAGTTTGCATGGCTGCATTGTAATTGTTAAATTGGTAATTACATTGTCATGTTTTGGCCAAAACAGGAAAGCAACTAATTACGTCCATTTTACTTCTTTCTATCACGTGCACGTTTGTCAGTTTACGCTCAAACCTCAAATACACTGATTGTTATAAGGCCTTTTTTTTTAAAAAAAAAAGAAACATTTTTATTTTTCTGGCCAACACATAGATTTGATTTCTATTAATATTAATATACTATAATATAATGTGGAATATAAGATTCAAAAAAAGCTCTATTATTTATCAATAACAAATAACATAATTAGATGCTAACAAGTTTTCGATCAAATGATATCACCCCAACACCCCCTTTTATTGAGAAATTTGGAAAACGGATCTCCTTATGACTAAAAGAAAGTGTGTACACGTGTTGTGTTTGGGTGTATGGGTGAGACATGTTCTAACCATAAGCAATCTTTTCAAGAAAAAATAAGTAATACGATTCATTTAAAATTGGGTTAAAAATGCAATTTTGATCCTATTTTATTTCTCTGATAAAATTTTGCTTCTAATTTTTTAATGGTACAATTTTATTCTTGATCTTATTTTTTAAGTACAATTTTACCCGTGATCTTATTTTTTGGGTGAAATTTTGTCCCTAATCTTTTTTTATGCAATTTTACCCCTGATTTTTTTAATACAATTTTGCCCCTCAAGGTCAAAATGTATCTGGAAAAAAAAAGATCAGGATTAAAATTGCATAACTAAAAAGATCAGATATAAAATTATACCTGAAAAATAAGATCAGCATCAAAATTGCACATTAAACCTTTAAAATTTTATGTAGAACAAGGAATTTATATTTTAATTTATAAAAATAAGTTATATTACTTCCTATTCTAACTATAATTATAAGAGGTCGTTTATAACCTATAAAAGAAATCTTAGAATTAAAATATGTTGTTTATGATCTATAAATAATACGAGTATCTCATAATTATGACAGGAAGAAGTAGTATTTATAAGGGATAAACAACGGTAAGAATCATCTCAAACGCTTCCCAAGAAGTAAATCCATCACATGGATACGGAAAGGCTACTTATTTAAAATGGATGATTAGACGGGGTCACAACACAACTAAAGTTGGCCCGAAGACATGTTCGGCACTAACAGGCAAATAATTAATCTGATCCCACATTTGAAATTATTAATAATAATATGATAATCCACTGTTTTCTGATTCTGCATTTTCCATCTCCGAGGGGAAACACACCACATGCGCTTTCGCTAATCATTAATATCAATTCATCAATATATATATATAGATGTATATATATTTGCCAAAGTTCATCAATATAATTGCCCTGCCCTCTTTTTTTTTTTTTGGATTTCTCCTCCGGTATCCTAGGGAAATAGGCGTCTTTCAGCCGTGACAACGTCACCAGACTAATCCGGATCGAGGGCTTGCAAGGAACCTTTCGGTCGGCGCCCTCTGACCCCTCAGAGTGTTGCATTCCCACAGCTCGAACTCGAGACCTGTGGTTAAGCTAGGATAGCCCCAGCCAGCTAACCTAACCCCTCGGGTTAATTGCCCTGCCCTCTTTAATAGCATCTAAGTAATATATGTGTGTTCATATATCTGCTGTATATCTTCGAAAATTTATTGTCAATGGTATTGTACTATTGTCCATAAACGATAATATATATATTAATAATTTAAAAAGCAGACATCATTATTTTGGATATACAGTAAAATGCATATAATTTTATGTTGCTAAATAAATTTAGTCGCAATCATTTAAAACAAAAATGTCGACTCTCGTAAGATATTAATAAAGATTTTAGAAAATGAACACAACGACTTCACCTTTTAAATTTTTCAAATAACACATCCTATTTAACTAATTTGATTAGATTAAAAAAGTTAAGTAAATTAACTAATTATAAAAAAATATGATATGTTTTTTCTAAAACACCATAATCATATTTTTTAATGTTCTCCCTCCTTCTTTTACTTGATTATGGTTCAAAGAATATCAATAGAGATGAATTGGGAAAAATTGATAAATATAAAAAATAGATCTTATATTTAGGACTAATGTTAACTTAACAATTAGATTATATATTAAAGATAGGAAGAGTAGTAATGAGTGTGAGTGCAGTTGTTGTTCAAAGTAAGTTGTGCTAGAATTACGATACTACATCCGGTTCTTAATATAAAAGTTAGTTGACTGGTTTGATTAAATTAAGAAGTTTTATTAAGTTAGTTATTTGTAATAAATTCGTACTCTCTTTTTAAAAATATTCTTGCTAATCATACGTATTAGCTAGAATTACCCCTTAATAGAACTTTCAATATGTGAAACTATTATAAAGATTATTTTTTAAAAAATAGATAAATTTAAGAGATAAAATAAATTAGGGTCTTATATTTTATTTTTAGAACTAGATTAAAAATTAAACTAACTCTTATATTAAGCATAGTAGGCAGTAGTGATACTCCTCCGGTTCTTAATATAGGACATAATTGTTAAGTTAATTTTGGTCCTAAATATAAGACTTATTTTTCATATTTATCAATTTTTTCTAAATTATTAATATAGATACTCCCTCAATTATAATCAAGTAGAAGAGAGATGAGGGATATTAAATAAGATGATTATGGTGTTTTAAGAAAAACATATCATAATTTTTATAATTAATTAAATTATCTAATTTTTTTAATCTAATTAAATTAATTAAATAGATTTCATATTAAGAATCAGATCAATATTATATATTGTAAGAAAATGTTTCAGGCAGATTAAAAAATAAGTTATTTGACTGCTGTGGAGGACCGTGGTCCGTGGGAGAGCAGGTGGGCCCTTCTCCACAACGCCCATGATCCGTCCGGGCGGGCAAGACATGGCTCGTGGGGCTCCGTCCCCAACAAATTTGAAAATAGGGTTTTATTAGTCGATTAATATATAACATCTTCTTCTTGTTTTTTTTTTTCCAGCAAAATCAATATATAACATCTTAAACTCTCATACTCATGGTTGTTAGAATCAGATTGCTGGGTTTGATTGATCCATAAGGAGTACTGAAATTGTTTTTATATCTGTTATTTAAAAATATTAAAGTTAATATGATTTTTACTCCCTCAAACTTATTTTTATTTTAGTTTTGATTTATAAATTTTTTTATTTAAAGTATATGTTTTTATAAGTTAATAAAAATTTAGACCATTTTAAAAATTTGAACAACAGTGCAATTTTAAAACCACCGACTCCACCTTCCACGAGACAGCCCAGCGAACCTCTCTCATTTTCCTGATCTTCACGTATGACATTAATATTCATAAATACAGAGAGACAATTTAAATTATTAATAAATAAAGCGAAATGAAAGCATGTTTAAAATACTATCCCTAAAATAAAAATTAGTTGATTAATTTGAATATATTAAAAAAATTAGTTAAATTAGTTATCATAATAAATAGATATTATCTTTCTTAAAATATCTTTATTAATCATGTGTATTAGCCAGATTTACTATTTGAGAAAACATTTAATATATGCAACTATTATAAGCTCTACTTTAAAATAAATAAATAAATACGAGAGATAAAATAGATTATAGAGTTTTATATTTACGACCAAATTAAATATCAAATTAACTCTTATATTAAAAAGAGGAGATAGCATAAGTTAGTTTAATTAGTACATGACAATTAAGTAATTTTATCCCATAAATATAAACAGAGGCATATCAAATTAGATCAACATCACTACTCACGGTTTTAGTTTGAAGGATATTTTTAGAGCAAATTGAAAAAACCACGAAACCTTACTAGTTATGGTTAAAAACCTTAATTTTCTGACAAAAAAAAAAAAAGCTAAAGACCTTTTTTCCCTCAAAAAAGAAATATAAGCCCTGAAAAGCCTTTAATTTAACATTAAGAACCTGTTTAAGATAACATTTAAAATTAATTATAAATATATTTTACATAAACTGAGACAAAATTCCTATCATATACTTACATTGTATGAATTATGAATGAAAAATTACTTATAAGCCTCATTAATTTCATTTAATTAGCAAAGAATATTTTTGAAACAAAATTAATCATAAATAATTGTTTCCTTCAAGAATATATCATATTATAAAACATGAAACCATTTTGAAAAACAAAATTCTTATATCAAATTTCTTATTTCGTTTCCAATCATGGTTATTATTAGTTTAATAGTCCTCCGGTCTTTAATATAAGACCCATTTAACTAATTTAATTAGATTAAAGAAGTTGGGTAAGTTAGTTAATTATAAGAAAAGTGACACATTTTTTCTAAAACACTATAATTATCTTTCTTAATACCCCTTCTCCCTCTTTTATTTGATTATGGTTAAGGAAGTATCAATAGGGTTAATTTAGAGAAAACTGATAAATATGAGAAATGAGTCTTATATTTAGAACCAAAGGTAACTCAAAAATTGGGTCCTATATTAAGGATCGGAGGAGTAATAATATTTTAAAATAGAATATGTATATATATAATCATGTGTTATTGAAAAAAATATCATATAAATCAAAAAGAGTATTTACTTAGTAAAATGTGTAATTTTCTTTTCAAATTTTTAGTTTTCTCTGGTAAAATGACACAATAGTCAGAAGTAAATTCTAGTTGAAACCGTTATAATTGTGAATTGTGAATAATTATAAATAACTGTAATTTTTTCTGGCCAAAATAAATAACTGTAATTGGAAATAAATAATAGTAATCTGATAAAGAAGGAGTCGTACACAGTGGCAATTTGGTGTTTTGCGCGTACGGCGACTGTCGAGGGAAAGAGTTCATTTGAAAATGGCAGTTCCTTCAAATCCAAAAGAAAGCGGCATTTGCCATATCAGTCGCCTCATATGAGTCATGAAGAAGAACATCTTCTCCATCCCTCTCTGCCACTCTCAACTCCTTCTTCTTCCCTTCTTCCTCGCCACATTATCTCTCTCCGCTTCACTCCATCTTCACATCACCACCAATGCAGCTCCCACTCACTCCCCCTCGCAGCGTCAACTTCTCTACTACAGAGACCAGTTCGGTGACAGAGGAGAGCTCGTGACCGTCGACCCTTCTTTCGTTTTCGAAAATGATCGCATTAGAAACGCTTACATTGCTTTACAAGCTTGGAAGGAAGCCATTCACTCTGATCCCCGAAATTTCACTGCTAACTGGGTTGGACCCAATGTCTGCAACTACACTGCCGTTTACTGTGCTCCCGCGCCGGATAATCCCAGGATCCGTACAGTTGCCGGCATTGATCTCAACCACGGCGACATTGCGGGCTACTTGCCTCGAGAGCTTGGGCTTCTTGCTGATCTTGCTCTGTTCCACGTTAACTCTAACAGGTTCTGTGGTACTATTCCCCATGAGTTTCGAAAACTGAAACTGCTCTTTGAACTGGATCTTAGTAACAATAGGTTCGCCGGGAAGTTCCCGGAGGTGGTTTTGAGTCTTCCCTCCCTCAAGTTCTTGGATCTGAGGTATAATGAATTTGAAGGGACTGTGCCCAATGAACTCTTCGACAAGGATCTGGATGCGATCTTCATTAATAACAACCGGTTTGCGTTCGACCTTCCTGACAATTTTGGGAACTCTCCCGTGTCGGTCATCGTCCTCGCTAACAACAGGTTCCATGGCTGCATCCCGGCGAGCTTGGGCAATATGTCAAATCTCAACGAGATTATTCTGATGAACAATGCCTTCCGTTCGTGCTTGCCGTCCGAGATTGGGAGGCTGAAGAATTTAACAGTGTTTGATGTGAGCATTAATCAGCTGTTGGGTCCCCTGCCAGACACCATTGGAGGTATGGTCAGTCTCGAGCAGCTGAATGTAGCTCACAATCTGCTCTCTGGGAAGATTCCTGCCGGCATTTGCATGCTGCCCAACCTACAGAACTTTACGTACTCTTATAACTTCTTCACTGGCGAGCCACCGGCGTGCTTGGCTCTGCCAGCTTTTGATGACCGAAGAAATTGCTTGCCGGCGAGGCCACTGCAGAGGTCAGCAGCTCAATGTATGGCGTTCTTGTCTCGACCAGTTGATTGTAACTCGTTTAAATGTAAACCCTTTGGTCCTTCGCCATCGCCCGGGGTGGTTCCTTCGCCACCTTCACAAAGTTCTCCGCCGTCCCCTCCGGGGGTTCCATCACCTCCCTCACCTAGTTCACCTGCGCCATCACCGGGAGTGGGTCATTCACCACCTTCACCATCGTCGGGAGTGGTTCCTTCACCACCTTCACAAGGTTCACCACCGCCATCGCCTGAAGTGGTTCCTTCACCTCCAGAAATTTCACCTTCGCCACCGGGTGTTTCGCCTTCTCCACCAGTTTACTCCCCGCCATCACCTTCAAACCCAACTCCACCATTTTCTTCTTCACCACCATCTTCACCAGCTTACTCTCCACCATCCCCTTCTAGCCCAACTCCACCATCGTCTTCTTCACCTCCATCTTCACCAGTTTACTCTCCGCCATCACCTTCAAGCCCAACCCCACCATCGTCTTCTTCACCTCCATCTTCCCCAGTTTACTCTCCGCCATCACCTTCAAGCCCAACCCCACCATCGTCTTCTTCACCTCCATCTTCCCCAGTTTACTCTCCGCCATCTCCTTCGAGCCCAACTCCACCATTTTCTTCTTCACCTCCATCTTCACCAGTTTACTCTCCGCCATCTCCTTCAAGTCCAACTCCGGTTTATTCATTGCCTCCGCCGCCGCCGCCTAGCTATTCCTCATCAACTCCATCACCTCCGCCTCCAGGTTATTCACTCCCTCCACCTTCCCCACCTTCATCATCGCCACCTAGCTATTCACCACCACAGCCACCAAATCCAACACCTCCCTATTATGTCTGGTCTCCACCACCGTCACCTCCAAATTCACCATCAACAACGCCTCCCTATTATCATAACACGCCGCCGTTGCCCCAACATTCTCCTCCACCAGGTAACTCACCTTCGCCACCTATTTATCCCTATTTATCACCTCCACCGCCCCCTCCCGTCGATTTTCCTGTCCCAGGCCACACTCCACCACCTTGTGTAGAACCAACTCCGATTCCATCCCCACCGCCGTGTGACGAGCATTCACCACCGCATCCTCCTACACCTCACCTTCCGCCACCATCTCCATTTCCCCGACCACCACCAGAATATACGTCTCCACCTCCCCCTGTCCGATACAGCTCCCCCAGACCTCCTCCGCCTATTCGATACGGTTTCTCACCACCACCTTCTCCTGTATACAAAGGGCCTATGCCACCTATTGTTGGGGTCCCATACGCGTCCCCTCCCCCACCACCCTTCTATTGATTCCTTTAAAAACTTTGCTCCTTTCGCATCACCTCTACGAACAGCAAAATTCAGTTATATTGGCGGGCATTTCTTTTCTACTCTCATCTTGTACCTCGTCAACTATGATCCCACTTTACGTGACTCTCGTCCCACGTGGAAGGAAAAGGGAAGAGAACACAAGGGTTTATGCAGCGAAGGATCTATCATCAGCACTGTTCTTATTTGAAGTTTATCATTTCATCAGTAGCTGTAAAAAAACAGAAGCTGTCACAGTAAAGTGAGGTAAGGGGAGAAAGTATCTCGATATTGTTGAGTTGTTATGAATATCCGAGTTCTGAAATAAAAAAACGGCAGAGAATATTTATGTATAGGCGTGAATTGGAGACCATGAATTTAGTGTTGCAAGAGAGGAGCACTTTCTGCTGAAGTTGATTGCTTGTATCATTACTCTACTTTTGTTTCTTTTCCCTTCCAATTTTATAATATAATCAATGAAGATTTCACTTGTATTGACTTTTGCAACTGAGATAAATCCATTTTCTCAATCAAATATATATGCGGGGACAGGAATGCTTTCCCATTAATCCGTTCACAATCTGTGGATCCATTCCCCAGAGAAAAGAGGGAGGGGGGTTACGATGCAGCTGAGATTTGGATCAATTTGTTCATCCTTAAATGCTGTATGCTTCAGCCTCACCTAACCGTTACTTTACTCTTCTACATGTAGTGTGGTGGGGATTTTTCACTTCGTGTTCATGAGCATATGGCCATTGCATTATTCATTCATACTCTCCTTGAGCTGGTTCTAGTTCTTCCTGTGGTGTCATATTGAATATTGAAGTTGGATCTAAACCTGAAATTGTTATGGTGTTGTCCTATGTTTGCTGTTTGAAATGGTCCCCAATCTCTGTTCGAGACGACTGCCATGGGATTCAGGCTACCAATTCAGATCATGGTGGGACCAGAATAGCATCCGCAGAGTCACATAGAGCAGCGCACAAATGGCTCGATTTTCTTCAATTAATTAACGCCGATTGAGATTTACTCTCCATGTGGGAAGTTTCATCTTCGCCTTGTGATTTGAATTGAAATCTGTTTCCTCTACATATTCAATTTTAACCATGGCCATTGACTGCATCAAGATTCTAGTCTAGGCCTGCAATGAATTTTGCTTGGTCCCTGTATCATGTCATTTAGCTTTAGCCGCTTTGCTAGTAGGCCACTCAAAGTAGTTTCTGTCTAAACTTGAAGCTGAGTTTGGCAACATCAATGAACGATTAGGTTTGTGCCATTCACTCTCAAGCGTGATACATAATTTGTTTAATTCTCCAAGATTTGGTGGTTTAATTCTTCTCAAAATTTAGTGGAAGTAATTAAGAAACCAGTTTCGAAAGAGCCTTGCACAGTAAGGAGAAGCATCTGGTTCCCGTTCCATAGCGTCCTCAACTGTCTGCATTACTTCAAATTGTTTTGTTTTTAAATATAAGCTGTGATTTGTTCATATATGTTCTGTTTACTGAACAAAAATATGTGAAAAATTAAATTTTGAAAAAAAAAGTGATGGACCAATAAATCAGGCAATATTCTGTCTCCTAATCACAATCAGTTTTCTGAAATAGACAACTCATGTCTCCTAATTACAAGGATACTACTCTTTCGGTCCTTAATATAAGATCTAATTATTGAGTTGGTTTTGATTCTAAATATAATACTTACTTCTTGTATTTATCAATTTTCTTTAAACTACTCCTATGAATACTTTCTCTACCATAATCAAGTAGAGAAGAAAGATAAGGTATTAAGAAAGATGATTATGGTGTTTTACGAAAAACATGTTACATTTCTTATAACTAACTTACTTACTTAACTTTCTTAATCTAATAAAATTAGTTAAATGGGTCTTATATTAAGAATCGGAAGAATAATTCTTTGTTGCATGGCTTAGGAATTGGCACAAAGGAAACCTCTTCACACATTAACACATACTACCTCTGGTCCTAAATATAAGAGTTAATTGACTAATTTGAAGAGATTAAGAAAATAAGTTAGTTATTTGTCATAAATGGATGTTGTCTTTTTTAAACTGTCCTTATTAATTAAGTGTATTGGCTATAATTACTATTATTAAAAAGACTACCTTAAAAAAATACATAAATATTAAAAACAAAGTGAATTAGAGTCTTATATTTAAGATCAAAATAAAACTCAAACAAGATTTTATATTAGAGATGGTATTTTGCATAGATTTAAGTAGACACAAACACATGCTCTCGCTAATTGGTCGAGTGTGTACTAAACGGCCTTTCTGAATGAGCATTATGGGTCATTTTCTCAGCAATGGCGACTATACTGGCCAGGCTCTATTTTTGAGGGAGAAAAATAATTGAACAGAAGCATACACCTTTCACTACAGTTATCTGTGGATGAATGAACAATAAGAAAATATACAAAAGACGGGATATCCCGCCCCAAATTGGTTTTGTGACCATCTTTTTTCTCCTAATCTTGATGTTATTATTGTCGCATATCCACAGAAAGTTTTTAGAAGAAAAAGAAGAACATCAAGTGGTAAACTTCATTATTTAAAAGTCAAGATTGCAAGGGAAATATAAATGGAATTGACTTCCCACCGTCAAAGGCGTGGCGATTTCAATGAAATGGGCCCTCCATGATATGATTATGATATTAATGCGGCCTGTCAGATGTTTCCACCCCAAACAGAAAAACTGATTGATGTGAGAAGCTGGCTGGTTTGCTCTGGTAATGGGCTGCAATTAGGTCAAGGTGTTATGTCATTTCAAAAGATGAACTTTATGATTTTTTTTTAATTCCAAGCAAGAAAAAGCTGCCTCTAGAAGCTTTGATGTTTGAAAAGGGGCCGAAATTTGCATATTAAACCACTCCTTCCAATTCACAATGCAAGTTATTTTAACTAATTTATTATAATAAAAAAATATTAGTTAGCTCATTAAATTTGTTTCAAACTAAATTTTTTTTAATAACTTTATCTATATTAAATGAGATTGTGAAGAAAAGAAAATACAAAGAGCTATATCTAAACATTAATCGCAAGGACAAAATCGACAAGTATTAATTACTTTTTACATGACTTATATTTTAGATCTAGTCATTTTTGTATAAACAACTTATATTGTTAGTCAAATAAAATAATTCTAACTTTCCTCTTCACTCTTTGCACTATCTTTGAGTTCTCAACACTAGGGTTTAATTGATAATAAATCCCCAAAAGATCAACTTTGCCAGTATTCTATCTCCGCTGCTTGTTATAATTGGTTGTTACCATTTGATTAGTTCTTGTGAACCTTGATTAGTACCTTAGAATATTCCCTTCTCCTCCAGAAGAGGCAAAGCACAGACGAATGCCATGTGCATAGGTTTTGAAAACTAATAAATATAATATCATGATTCTCTAAAACTTTAGCAAGAAAGAGTCTTTTTTTGCTCAGAGTTTGATTTAATTAATAACTTGAAGAGTGTGCAGATAAATAATGCATTATTTGGCGGTGTGTTCAGAGGATGGACAATGCCAACTAATTCATGTGGATTGGTGGAATCAATCTCAAGCATTGTTGAATGAAGCAAGCAGAGAATTCCGTTGCAGAGTTAAGGGATAGGATTGTTCGGATTAGTATGTCTTCTTCATTTTTTCTAATGAGATTTTTTTAATCCAAATCAGTTTAATCATTTTGGTTTTCAAAGGTTTTGCTTTTATTTTTTCAAATTTAAATAATACTCTTCTAGTCCTTAATATAAGACCTATTTAATTAATTTGATTAGATTAAGAAAGTTAGATAAGTTAGTTAATTATAAGAAATATGACATGTTTTTTCTAAAACACCATCATCATCTTCCTTAATATCTTCTCTCTCTCTTCTACTTGATTATGGTCGAGGGAGCATCCGTAGAAATAATTTAGAAAAAGCTGATAAATATGAAAGATATGTCTTATATTTAGGATCAAAATTAACTCAACAATTATGTCCTATATTAAGAACCGGAGGATACTTAATTGTTAGTTATTGAGTTTCTTTCGCTTTGTATTTTGTTATTTTAAAGTAAAAGAACACTTCAAATGTGATGATTTTTTTTTTTTGGGGGTGATATTACTAATTCATCTCGAGGAGACGAGAACGGGTGAAAGCGCTTATCTTTAATGGGAATTGTCTTGTCTGGCCCTCCACGAGCCCAATGCCTTAAGGCCCAATTTTATACAGAAGACAGGGCCCGTGAAATACGTGGCCCAAAGTCGTGCATCTCAGACTCTCAGTTTGCATGACATGAGCGTGCTAGACAAGTGTTTCCTTTTTGGCGCCCAAGTTCGACAAACAGCTGTTTTTGTGTGGAGAAAACAAACAGGATAGTTCGAATTCTTATTAAAAAAAAAGTATTCATATTTAATATCCTGAAAGGATTGCCTTTAATAAAAATATATATGTGCCTAGCCAAAAAAAAGAGTTTGAATTAGAAATAGAAAATATGCCCGCATTTAGAGCTTAACAATATCTCGAGCAGAATTGTTTCTAATAAATAGATACTTGTACCTAGTGGAAAAATAAAATTATAATTAAAAACTAAAATTACCTAGCTAGTTAAACAGGAAAAAATTGGTTCTCTTTTAATAAATTTGAGGGTCTGAATATTCTGAATAAAAATATAACTTTGAGAAAGTCATGTTAATCAAACTCGATAACATTTAAATTTAACTTGATTGTATTAAATATTAGATAACTATATAAAAATTAATTGAAAACAAAAATTTCATTTTAAAATTTTTGAGTGAAGACATAAAATTTTAAATTGTTAATCATTTATATCTCTAAAATGGTTTTAGAACTATAAACTTTTATAGTAACGGTCTGGTAAAAAAAACTTTTATATCAATAATGTTGGATCTAGCGAAAGGAATTAGTCTTTTACAACATGGTGAATCAAGATTTAAATTCCTGCTAGGACAAGTGCCTACTTTTAGTAGCTGATAGTGTTTTAAATGAGATTGTTTTCAATAAGAGAAAACCTATACTGAAAGGGGAAAAAAAAACCTATAAACTTTTGTAGGAAATTTTAAATGGATAATGATGATTGATGCGGCCCATACATTTGCTTCATTCTTTGTGATGCCCACTAGGGCTTTTTTACCAATATACGATAAACAATAAGATTATATATCAAAATGTTGTATTTTTGAAACTATTTACTAATATGCTGCACTTATAATCGTTCTTGGCAAGAACGATTTTAAAATTACATACAAGTCGTTATTCATGTGAACGATTTCAGAAATCGTTTACGCCAAGAACGATTTTGCTTTTTCCTGTTCATTTTCTCACATACGAATTTATGCCAATTTTACATGCAAAAATAAGGATCCTTGACAATGCTTCCATGAGGCTACAACATCTATATTGGATTAAAATTTAAAAATCCCAATTGTTTTAATTTTTTAAATAGAGCTTGATGAAATTTTTTGTCATTTCCTCTTCTTTTTATTTTTCTCATACCAAACAATACGTAACAAAAAAAAAATATACTTTGGTTGCAAATTTTTAATTGTAGCAATTAAGTGGGAGGACTAAATTATTACTATTAGTATTTTGGTCACAAGTATGAAAGGTCTATGCCCAATACTTGATTTCTCGTCAAACTGAACAAATGCCATACAACTGGCTTTTTTTACCAAAATACTGCAAAGAGTAAAATTATATACTAATATGCTGCATTTTTAAAAGTATTTACTAATATGCTACACTTAAAATCGTTCTTCAGGTGAATAATTTTTAAAGTCATTTATCTGTTGAACAACTTCTTCATTTAACAAATGTTTACGCCAAGAATGATTTCTGAAATTGTTCATGCCAAGAACGACTTGTGTGTAATTTGAAAGTCGTTCTTACCAAGAACGATTTTAAGTGCAGATAAATGTCACACAAGCTTTCATGCACATCAAGGATAGATTATAAAGAAATCGTTCAGCAGATAAATGACTTTAAAAATTATTCACTCGAAGAACGAATTTAAGTGTAGCATATTAGTAAATACTTTTAAAAGTGTAGCATATTAGTATATAATTTTACTTTTTGTAGTATTTTGGTAAAAAAGCCTGTCGTGTAGCATTTGTTCGGTTTGACGAGAAATCAAGTATTGGGCATGGATCTTTTATGCCTGTGACCAAAATAATAATAATAATAATTTAGTCATGCAACTTAATTGCTACAATTAAAAATTTACAATCAAAGCATACTTTTTTTTGTTACGTATTGTTTGGTATGAGAAAAATAAAAAGAAGAGGAAA